CTCGTCTGATAGCATCTGGATTCCAACTTAGGTCTGTATTGCAACAGTTCTTGGGTGTACCAACTGGGATTGGCCTGTTGGATGTTGCAATGACTTGCTGGTTCCAGGTTGCCTGTAGCCTCTCTCTGACGAGGCTGTACCATAGGTAGGGGCAGATTCGTAATTTGTTTGGCTGAGGGCTAACCGAGAGACCTACCTGTAAGGAAAATTCGTGAGGGACATATCTGTAAATATGGAAAATATAGGCCCAGTACTAACTCGAATTTCCTACAGTCACCCTAACTGCAAATAGCAGGCCCGTGCTACCCCTAGGACAGACAGGCCCTAAGGGCCTATGCTGATAGACGGTCCTATAGCCTATAGCCGGGTAGGGAGAGGCCCAAGGGACCGAACCAGAAACGGTACCGGTCGGTCAGTCAGTCCGGTCTAGGTCGAGTCTAGGCTAGGGTAGAGTATAGATAGATTGAGAGCATCGGTCCGGGCTTTTGGCAGTTGACACCTCGTGGTGGAAGTTGCTGCGCCCGCTGCATCAGGTCGTGGTGACTGATTCATGCGTGGGAGACAGCGGACATAGCCAGACCTTCAGGGCGCTGACCAGACTGGGGTCAACGCTGTCTGCTCTGACTCTCTGAGCGGTCTGGGCTATTGGAGGTCTGATGCATGGAGCACGTGGTGCACTGCTGACCCTCCTCAGGAGTAGGGTCCCAGTGGCCATGCAGCCCTAGCTGCATCTTTTCAGAGATTATCACCGTCTGGACTTTCTCTTCATCAGAGACTGTTGGCACTGTGCTTCTTCTCCATCATCTGAGTGGTGATTGGCTCTGGGAGCCTGTTTCATACTGGTGCAGGCCACTGAGTTGGATGTCAGGTGGCGCTGGGTGTTACCTGGGGTTCTGGTGCTATTTTTAGCTGTTCAGAGTGTGTGGGGTTGAGGCGCTACCTTTCTGAGGGTAGTGCAACACGGTTCCGAGGTTATTCAGTTGAACGATGCTCTGAGTTTAATAAACAGTTTTAATACTGTGTCTAAGTTGTCATCTCTTCAATGATTTCTGGCTGTGATCTCTCGGTTATCTTCTATGAATGATTGTTGGGACCTCGGTGGAGAGAATCCACTGTGTTGTGTATTCTGTCACTTCGCTCTTTTGAGTCTTCCGCTGTGTTTCTTCTGTTGGGCGGTGTGACACTCCACTACCACTCCCCTTCCTTCTATGCATGTATGGGCGTGTACAGGAGTTCCTGTGAGTGAGCGCTGACAAACTTTCAACGGACAATCATGTTCATAACAATGTTTTGTTATTTCTAACATATTAACTTGTTAACTTAGGTTGATATGAACTCACAATTAAGATTTTAGATGGAAGCGTGAACAGCAAGTGCAAATAGCAGAAAATTCAAAAATCAAAATTCCCACAAGTGTCAAGTGATGTCTTGCAATCAACTGAGCCTGCCAGTGCCAGTAGATACTGGGACAATACCTGAATTTGTCCGCGGTACATCTGAGGAGAAAGCAGCATGCTGATAAGCCAAATATGGAATTGCAGATTCAGGCACGCGGGCAAACAGAGCATAGAGAAATGCTATGAAATATTGAAACATTCTGATGAAAGGCAACAGGCATGAAGACTTTCAAAATATGTTGACGAGCGAAGGCACTCAACAATTGAACCCTGGACTGAACAATGAGAGATCAGGACTATCATGCCAAACCCACCTGTAGGCCACCACCCTCACCAAAATTGCCATGAATGGCCGGGAACACGATATCCACATTCCTTCGCAAATGGTCCATGAAAGCACCATGTGAATCAAACTGTTGTGCAGTGCTGCTTGGCATCATAATCACCGTCATTGTTGCCGTTGTCGTCATCATGGGTAAATGGCCATACAACAACAGCAACTGATATCAGAGTTAAGTTTACCAAAGAAAGAATTGAAAATTGACTGAATTGATTTTGAGGCCCCATTGGATTGAACTCGTTGATTGCTAACAGTTACCATATGCGGAAAGCAGTGTAAAGTTTTGACATCAAACACCAAACAGGTTACAGCCACATTGCTCTTTCCATGTTCTATCTTACGCATTGGAAGGCAAGGATCTGGGCCAGACTCAACTGCTCACAAAATGCTACATACGGCAAGCAGGCCATGACTATACTGTCTCTTTTACCGTAAGCATTGGAAAGGAGGACTTGCATCAGACTGAACTGCTCATTAAATGCTACATCCCCAGCGGCGAGCTTAATGTGCATGACAACACACGATACCACAAGAGGTCTCATCAGAGGTGGAGGGAAATGTTGGGTTGTGGTTGTGGACAGGAGAGAGGACAGAATGCAACACATGATGTTCTTCGTGCCTATAGGGGGTGAGCAGAGCAAAAATATCTGAAACAAATCGCATAGAATACCACCAGTGGTAGAGTGCAAGCTTCCATTACATAAACAATACAGATTGTCTATATGCAATCAAACTCGCATACTTCGTCACTTCACATGCATACAAACCATACTTGCAACCGCACGAGCCGCACATTCGTGCGGAGTTCTGTACGGAGTTCCGTGCAGGGGGTGCCTGTGCGGAATCGTGCAGGTTTTTTATTTTTATTATTATTATGTTTTTTTTTTGGGGAGGGGGACGGGGGGGGCGTACGACAGGAAGATGGGGATATGGCAAGGAGAGGGGGATATGGAGAGGAGGAGGAGGATGTGGATGAGGAGGACAACGAGGAAGAGGAGTCGAGATGGGGGAGGAGAAGAGATGGACGGAGGGAAAAGAGGAAGGGCAGGAGGAGGAGGACGAGTGGGAGGAGGAGGAGACATGGACGGCGAGGAAGGGGAGGACACGAGGAAGGGAAGGAGACGAGGAGGCATGGAAGATGAGGAAGTACGAGGAGGAGGAGACAAGGACGATGAGGAAGGGCAGGAGGAGGAGGACGAACAGGAGGAGGAGGAGGAGGAGGAGGAGACGAAAAGGAGAAGGGAGGAGGAGACATGGAGGATGAGGAAGGGGAGGAGGAGCAAGGTGAGGCAGTACTCCTGTAATCTTTTTTTTCATCTCGCTTATTATTTTGGCGGGGGGCCTCAAACGCACCGTTTCGACCCCAGCCTTTTATTTCTTCTTTTATTTCTTTTCTGAGGGGGGCGACGGGTCGTTCTCCGCACACGTCGTGCACAGCACGGGATCGGTTGGGCATGTGCGCTGCACGTAGGGAACCGCTCGCACGACGTGCGCTTGCATGTATGATACAAACAGATGGTGAATCACACTGGCGCCTAGCGCCCAACTCAAAGCTCGAAGATATGGAAACCAAGACACAGTTCAGATGCAAGCTCGCTTCAATAGGCTATGGTGCATCAGCACCCACACATCGCAACTCTCGTCACTGTGTCCAACACCACTGTTCACTTCACACTTCCACTCCGCATCACCCTGGATCTGTCTCTTATACACATCTAGAKGTGTATAAGAGACAGGCACGTAGGGAACCGCTCGCACGACGTGCGCTTGCATGTATGATACAAACAGATGGTGAATCACACTGGCGCCTAGCGCCCAACTCAAAGCTCGAAGATATGGAAACCAAGACACAGTTCAGATGCAAGCTCGCTTCAATAGGCTATGGTGCATCAGCACCCACACATCGCAACTCTCGTCACTGTGTCCAACACCACTGTTCACTTCACACTTCCACTCCGCATCACCCTGGATACCCCACGCACACACTCTGCACACAYACRAATGCACACCTACTACTAACTATGGCAGCTATGGCCGCCAGCTAACTCTACTCTACAAGCAGCTATGGCTGCGCTAACTCCCTCTAGCYCACTTYGACTTCAGGCTCCTCTGCAGACCACCTCGCACAAGTCACCGTGGCAGCGCTTCYGCATGGCTTCCGCAGGAATGAATGAATGGCTGTGCGCTGCCTCTTGATTTATACTTCTGTAACTYGTTGGTCTGCCCCTTTCCATCGGCCCATGGTACACACAGTCCCCTATGGTACTTGCTGGACTGGACTGGGACTGACTGGGCTGTACCGCTGACTGCATGGGGACGCACTGCTAACCTACCGCTATCATATTGCGAACGTACTGCAGTTGGTCCACCACTTGCCCATTTGCCCACTTGCCCACTTGCCCACTTGCCTCAGTCTAAAACGTGAGCAGACAACCGCGTGCCCACTTGCCCACTTGCCCACTTGCCTCAGTCTAAAATGTGAGCAAGCTGCGAAAGGCCACTTCCGGACCTTCCGGAAGTATGTGGACTTGGCCTTTCGGGACTGTAGCAGCTACGACCTTGAACTTTCAGGACTGTAGCAGCTACGACTTTGACCCTTCAGGACATCTACAGCTACGACTTCTGGAACCCTCTAAGACCTCTACTCGACAGATCTACAGAGAATCCCTATGTCCACACAGTCCTATGACAGACAAACAACAACTCATGAAACACAGGTCACGGGTTCAAATACTCAGGGGTCAACTCGGTACTGTACATGGGTAACATAAGGTCTGGGGATCGAACCCTGGGATCTGCATCTGCCTCTGCAAAGGTGAAAACCGTTTCATTCCCGCCGGCCTAAATTCGAGGTCCTCTGAGAATAACTCAGTCTACGGCAGGACCTTTACCTTTCCTATCTCTCTCGTAGGCTCTAACTATGTCGGGAGCTGTTTCTAGAAGTTCCGTTCTAGTAAACCAGCGGTCGTCCTCGGGCTCCTGATAAGCGAATCGGACCTTATATTGTTTATGTGGACGACCTCTACCTCCTGTTCTGAATACATCTTCACCTACAATGCCGTCAATGTCATATCTTCCGTCCATGTCTGGGGGGATCATGGATCTCCTAGATGGAAACTGTCGACTCGTGACACGGCAACAACTTTGATGCATGGAATACAGGGTAGGTGTGGAGGTGCGCTGGAATTTCAATAGTGCAGGACGGTCCATCTTCGGCGCCCTTGACTTCTAGGACAGGCAACGGTCCTCTATATGCAGGCAGTAACTTCTGCGAAATGTTCTCCTCAGGAGCAAACTCTTTCCACTTGACCCAGACTAAGTCGCCTACTTGAAACTGTGACGGGCGACGATGCTTGTTGGCTTGCTCTATCATCCTATGCTGGGCCTTCCTGAGGTTCTCTACAACGGTAGCTAACTCCTTCTCGTGCTGTAACGCAAACTCCCTCATACCGGGCGGTAGCCTGTGAATCTGATCCCGGTTAAGTCCCTCAAACGGTCTGCGTGGTCTAAAGGACTTGTGTAATTCGTTGGGAGTGCGACATGTGGACAGGTGCGCGCTGTTATTGTAGGCACTGGCTACCTTTGGGAGCATCTCATCCAAGTTAGTCTGATCAGGTCTAATGTACATTCTCAGAACTTGTTGTAGGAGCTTATTCATTTGCTCAGTCTGACCGTTAGTCTATGGATGACGGCCAGATGACATCAACAGCTTGGAGTCGTATACTCTCATCAACTCCTGCCAGTTCTGACTAGTGAATCGGGTGTCTCTATCGCTAACTATAGACAGCGGAATTCCGTGTTCACTGACCCAATGATCAAAGAACTTCTGAACTACTAACTTTGTACGTGCCTCCGCAGGCAACGAAACAAAAACTGCATACTTGCTAAATCTGTCTACTATGACCATGACTTGGCTCTTACTATGCCTACTCTTGACGCCGGTGTCCATGAAATCAATGGACACGGAATCCCCGGGCTGGTCAGGAATAGGTAGGGGTCTGAGAAGACCTAGAGGGGCGCGCGTAGTAGTTTTATTCCTTTGGCAGACCTTACAACTGCGAACGTACTCTGTGCAGTTGGCCTTCATCCCTGGCCAAGTATACGCGCACATCAGATTGGCTAGAGTCTTTTGCCAACCGAAATGTCCCTCTGTATCGTGACATTCCCCTAAGATCAGGCTACGAATCTCTTCACTGTTGGGGACGCACAAGCGGTCTACTACATCAGGCTTCTCAAATAACAAACCCTCTGTAGTGCGGTAATGTGGTTCGCTCTCTGGGGCCTCCTTAACTCTTTTGAGGAGGTCGCTATAGATAGGGTCCTGCGCATACCCCTCTCTAACTTTCTGTTGCAGGTCTTTCCCTATAGCCAGATAATGGACTATCGCTCCAAAGTAGTCTGACCTTCTACTCAGAGCGTCCGCAATTGCATTATACTTTCCTTTTACTGGCTTGAGCTCAAAATCATATTGGTTTATTTCTGCGGCCCACCTAGTCAACTTAGGTGTCATCTTGGCCTGTGTCTTCAGCCACCTCAGAGTCTCGTGGTCTGAATACACCTTGAAGTGCCTCCCAAGCAAGTAATGCTTCCAATGTTCTAACGCTTGCCTGAGAGCGTAGAGTTCCCTCTCGTAAGTGGATGCCGCTACCTTCTCTTAAGGCATCCTAGCAGACATGAACTCTACGGGTCTATATTCGTTGCCATCGTCTTGCTGTAGTACAGCACCTATGCCATACTGGCTTGCGTCAGTGGTAACAACGAAAGGTAAGGATGGATCGACGACCTTAAGGATTGGATACTCTATCAACGCCTGCTTCAACTTCTTCATAGCAGACGTGCAGTCCTTATCCCACTTCCAGATTGTTTCTTTCTTTAGCAATCTGCGAAGGGGTGCAGCGATGGTAAAGAAGTTTCTCACAAACTTCCTGTAGTAGTTCGCTAGGCCTAAGAACGATCGCAACTCTGTCAGCATGCGGGGCGTAGGCCAATCCCTAATCACTGCAATTTTGCTATCCTCTGGCTTAATGCCGTCTCCGTCTAAGACGTGGCCTAAGTACAAAACTTGGGTCTTTGCCCACTCGCACTTCTTGGGGTTGATCTTGAAGTTAGCCTCTCTCAGCTTCTCCAAGACCTGCCTCAATGACCTTGGTGCTCTTGGAGGGTCTTGCTAAAAACTAGAATGTCATCTAGATATACGACTACAAATCTATCTAACCACGGCCTAAACAGGTCGTTCATACAACACTGAAAAGTCTTTGGCGCGTTGGTTAGTCCAAAGGGCATGACTATAAACTCATAGTGCCCATACCTAATCCGGAATGTGGTCTTATACTGATCATCAGGATTGTACCTTTATCTGATGATAACCGGACTTCAAATCTATCTTCGAAAAGTACTTGCAACCCTGCACCCGGTCTAAAAGATCATCTATGCGGGGCAGCGGCTCAACATTCTTTACCGTAATAGCATTGAGACCCCTATAGTCGATACATATCCTGAGCTCTCCCTCCTTTTTGGGAACAAATAGAACAGGTGCTCCAAATGGAGACAAACAGGGCCTAATCCAACCCTTCTCTAGTAGCTCATCTAACTGCTTGCGTAGCTCCTCCAACTCCCGTGGAGACATCCTGTACACCGCTCCTTTGGGAGTTCTACTGCCAGGCTCAATCTCAATGCGATGCTGGATGGGCCGCGGTACTACTGTCGGCGGCTCAGCTAAATCCTTGAACCCTTCCAGCAGCTTGGCAATAGCTGGGTCAATGGGCTCTCCTCCTTAGGCTTAGTGACAGGCCTGATGTAAACTACGAAGACCTGTTCCTCTAATTTCTCCTTTTTCACCAATCGGGCAAACACAAGAGCACTGTGACAGCAATGTGCCAGAGTGTTATCTACACTTGACGCATGGAACAGACGGGCAGTCTTAACCTCACCTGACTGGCCAGGGAGCCTACACTCATGCTCTCTCAAGTGGAGTGTGGCCCCTGCTGCCTCTCCCCGGTCCATACCTAGGACTATATCAAAAGGAAGGTCATCTTGTACGAGGAGAGTCAGGGAATGGAGAACCTTCTCCACTTTCCCATCTTTCTCTAGGCGGAAATACGCCTGGACTCCCTCTACGTAGTCCTCAACACGCATAGTGCGGTTGTCTGCGAGGACACTTACTATGGGGTCTTCCGACTTTCGGACTTTTAACCCTAGCCTCAGCTTCTTCAGCGCTCTACGGCTAATATAACTACGGGTAGCCCCTGAATCTATAAGGGCTCCTACTCTACTTATGAAAACTTCTACATCTACTAACACTAGTTGTCCTTTACTCTCCTTTTTCATCTTGGCCCAGGCGGGCATTCTCTATTTCAACTCATCAGCCACGCCTGTGAGGGAGGTGCCTAGAGAGACTCTAACACAAGCAGTCTCTGGACAGCTATCTGGGCACTGCCTGCAACCTCTCCCATAGGCTCATGTGGTGTGGGAGTTTCTTGCCGGCTCGCGCTCGTTTCCCCACATGGCCTTATGGTAGGGGCAGTTGCGACCCCTACCGACGGCTGCCTTTTTCCTGTTGGGCAGCCCATCGGGCCTCTCTATACTTTGGACAATATTGAATGATGTGGGCAGGGTCACCGCAAAATACGCACCGTCCTTGATCCACACGCTACTGCCAGACGCGCTGGTCCAGGCCCAAATCTTCCCAAGGTTGGCCCTATGGCAGACCTAGGTGCCAACCACTTCTCCTATAGGGTGACCTATACCCCTATTAGGTGAACGGTTACCAGAACGGTTTTGCGGGGGACCTTGACCCCTTCCTCCCTCTTGGCGGTTCCCTCCTCGACCGCCAACCCCCTGATCGCCCTGGGAACGGCCACCTAAGGCCCGGCCCCCTTGGCCCTGGCCTCCTCCTCTACCTTGCGGCCTCCCTCCGGCCACGACGGCATTGTCCTCCTCCTACAGCCCCCACTCAATCTGTTCGTAGGGGACTTCGTCGACACTACCCTTATCTAACATAAGGATCAAACGATCCTTGGTCTTAACCTGTCCAGAGATAGAGTGACCCTTCCACTTTTTCCCCTTGTCCAGGTCCTTGTGCCAGAAAGTGGAAACTGACGCGGACCTTGCCTCAAACGCTACCACTTCCCTGCTCAAAGCATCGTAGGTCATGGTAGGTTGCTGACTCTTTTCAAAGAAGTGCCCGCGCAACTGTTCGGGCATAGCGTGGTAGAAGAGATTGACCAGTTGGGCCTCAGTGACCCCATGGTCAGGGACGGCCACTAAGTCATCCATTATTCTCTCAAGGGCCCTAGCACTCTTCCACTGGCGAGAGTGGATGGTTTGCAGCCTGTCGGAGGCTTTGATGCTGCGCGAGACGTCTGCAAATCGTTCGCGCAACAGTTTAAGGAAGTCAATGAGGGGGTAAATGCAGAATAGGCGACTAGATCATCATTGCAATTAGCAGCACGAACCAAGGAACGGGCGAAGCTGGCGGCTTCTTCCTTTAGAGTGTGTATAGCTATTAGAACATGCTCATTTCGGGAGACCTTTTGCAGATGCACGTAGGTCTTAACGTTGGCCTCCCAATTGTCAAAGTTCTCTTCCTTCTTCCCGCTGTAGGAATCGGGGAATTTGACTTTGACAGGCTCCCTACGGGGACGTGCTTCCTCCTCTTTGGGAGCGGTCAGTCTGGCGTCCTCTATGGCACCTGTGCAATAGCGCTCTGTACTGTCTAGGCGGGCCTTCACTTCAGAGCCCACCTGTGTCGCCAGTTCTCGTGCAAAGTCCCCGAGTCCCAATCAGATAGAACGCACGACAATGTCTTGACTTCTGCCAAATAGGAATTGTTCTTCCCGGATCTGTGCCAAGCGTTCTATATTCTTTGCCATAATTTCCATCTTCCCCAATAAATCTACCTGAACCGCCATCTGATCTCTCTGCTTCTTTATCTCCTCCAATTCTCTCGCAGCTTGGCTCGCCGCCTCCATCCTTCTTTTCCTTTCCCTTGTCAAACGAAACTTCCATTCCATCCTTTTCTGATTTTCCAACACCTGCCGCTTGAGTGGATCTTCTTCAGCATCCCACTCTTTCACGGCCACCTCCTGTTCCTCCCTGGACACATACATCAAGGCCTCCTCATCTTCTCCCAGAGATAATCCGGCAACCCACTCTGTAATCTTTTTCTCCATTAAATCTTATTTTGTGCCACTGGACTCCCCTCTTCCTCCTGCCCTTCGCCTTTCCAGCGGCTGTTCTTCCTCCTCTTCCTCCTCTTCTACCGCCTTGAGCTTCACTTCCTCTTCTCTCTTTAGCCTCTCTTTTTCCCTAGCCATCTCTTCCTCAATCTTTTTCAACTTCGCAGCATGTTCCTCTATCAAAGCCTTCTTCTTGGCCTCCTTCTCTCTTCTCTCTTTGAGGATGGCGTCGGCCTTTGCCTCCTCTTCGGCTATGTAAGGGGAAGTGCTCTTTCCGGTATGCGTGTCAACCATGGTGATAGATGCACAACCAAATAACAGTTCCACTCCTCACCACTTAGACGTCCCCCTTACTTAACTTAAGAATGACTGACATCTTCAGCGCGGCAGGTACGTGGTAACCCAATCTTGTATCGCTCAGCCCCTCTCTCTCTCTCTCTCTCTCTCTCTCTCTCTCTCTCTCTCTCTCTCTCTCTCTCTCTCTCTCTCTCTCTCTCTCTTCGCCGTTGTCCTCTGTGCAGGTTCGCGTCACCTTCCTCCGCAGCCCAACTATGGCGGACTTCTTCTTCAAGGGTGGCGCATTTCAGCTATGGCACCCAGACGTCTTCCTTCTGCTACAACGGCTATGCGGATGGGGTAGCGGGTACGAGCTCCAATACCAGTGCAATCAAACTCGCATACTTCGTCACTTCACATGCATACAAACAG